TCAACCAATATCAAAGTGAGAATCTTCAACACCAACGTCAAGGCAGTTCTACTGTATGGAGCTGAAACTTGGAGAACTACAACAACCACCATCAAGAAGGTACAAGTATTTATAAATAGCTGTCTTCGCAACATACTCAACATCCATTGGCCGGATACCATCAGCAACAGCCTTTTGTGGGAGAGAACAAATCAGCTTCCAGCTGAAGAAGAAATTAGGAAAAGACGATGGAAATGGATAGGACATACATTACGCAAATCGTCAAACTGCATCACGAGGCAAGCCCTAACTTGGAATCCTGAAGGGAAGCGGAAAAGAGGAAGGCCTAAGAACACATTACGTAGGATAATAGAAGCAGATATGAAAAGGATATTATTCATTTTACTCTGTGATTAATTAAAGTGTGAATGCAGGAAAATTAAACGGCAAATGACTGTTGAAGAGAATAGTTTCGTAATTTATTTTTCGATTGAAGTAACTGTTACTTGTACTGACGTCTAGAAGTATCTATGTTGTTCGTTGAGTAATGTATGCTCATATAAACGTGTTGTTACAAGTGTTTACCCAGAAATTCCGGTTAATTGAAATTATACAATTGGCTTAAACTAACGTCCTCCGAATTTCATCTAAATAAGTTCGATAATTATTGATCAATTTGTTCACCACTCCAAATTTATTGAATTGTTCTCTTTTAACTGATAACAATCTATACAAAAGCAAAGTTAACATAGAAAATGCTCACAATTACTAAGAAAGTCAATATGTTTAACACGAGGTGAAAGATCGAAGTTGTCAGGGGAAATATTTGACATAGTAGACAGAAAATTGATCGGTTTCAAAAGCGCTAAATGATTCTTAAGTACCACTACACGCCACACAATGTGTGAATAACAATTTATCTATCCATTTATTACAATTTATTTTGTCTTGTATTTCACGTGTATTATTTCATCAGGCATAAACAAAATTTTCCCAAATCATTTGCCGTCTGTTTACTTGAGTTGCATAGGTTCAATATACTGGATATTGTGAGTAATCATCAACTAGTTATTTTACATGGGTCCAGATAGTCAACTCCATAAATACAGATTCAAATCATGGGTCAAGTATCAAAATAGACTACTGATAAATTTGTATCTTGTAAGATGATGGAAACTTAATATATGTTGCTCATTTGATAAACGTACAGATTTGTTCCATACTTTGGAAACTGACAAATCTATTGATTATAACAGGTAAAATTAGTTGTCACTGGATTTTCTTAAATCTCTAGCCTTTCGTCTTCTTAGTAAATTTAACTGACCTATTCTGTGCTTGGTTTGATATTATCATGTAAAACACTATTCAACTTAGCCGTGAAATGCTTGGAATGAAATGTATTAATGATCTTATGTTTTTACTGCCTACATGACCACTAGTGTAAACATCCCTCGCATATTATTCGTACATTAGACATTAATCAGTAGCTAAATAAGGCCATGTGTAAATATAGATGGAATTTGTTTCATATACCAATAGGGATCTGTGGTACCATAAGCTATCATATACATCAACATAGAGAACTATAAATTTATTAAATCAAATTTTGTTTGTGTTAGGGTGTTTATTTAAATTATAAATCATCAGAAATAAAGATTGAAGGAAAAATAGGATAATTTGACCCTTCACTACTTGAGTAATCACTCTGTTTCATATCTTGGTTGAATCTGTAGGATATAAGTAACCTTATCAGTTACAAAAACAGGTTGCAAATTAAATTTACTTTCTTTACTATGGATTTATACTGATGACGCAATGTGGACTAACGTAAAGACTTCAAACTAAAATACAAGTCTACAAAAATTAATCTAGTAGAATAACTCCACTTGGTTAAAGACCCTGAATGACATGGCTCAAAATCGTTTGCAATGGCGCAGGTGCATACACTCTTTGCGTTCTCCCAAATTCTAATCTCCTGAATTCTCCTTGTCTCTTTTTTTCTCTTTCCAAACTTATTTCACTGGATTATACTCTTTAAATAACATCTTCAAACCCTAATCTTTCCGATTACTGCTTATACTCTTATTACCTCTACCACTACGGGATTTGAATCGACCACTGCATCTCTGTGCCAATGTAATGTGGCAACTCGGACTGATGTATGTACGTAGGAAGTTCTACGTTGCTACTGACTGACTGACTGAATCTAATAGAATAATTATTCATTTAGACAATAAATGTTTACTATCATATTCTAACTGATTACTTTTTCAAGGTTTTACATTATCCTGTGCATTTTGTATAACATAAAAATAGTTGTTATACATAAACCAGTTAACTGAAATTAACTTTCATTGTGCTGATAAAAAAAATGCTTACCTATCAGTTGTTTTGTTTTTCTTTCATTTAATGCAAGCGATTGTTACTAGGAGTTTATTTAGCGATTTTTTAAATCACGAACCATGACATTTATACTAAATTTCATTTTTAATAGATCATAATATTATATTCATTCGTTTTCAAGATGAATTGAATTATGACAAATAATTATAAATGGTAAATGATTGAAATTGCATGGTTTGATTAAAATGACATTCATTCCAAATGATTGTTTTTATTATATATATACATTTGATTAGCACTGTCACACTAGTCAACTTTTGTATCCCTAAGACCAGTCAAAAGATAAACAAACAAACATGTAACTGATTCATTGAAACGAAATTGTTCAACTAATATTATAAATATTATTTTATCATATAATTTGTTTGTTCTATATGAATAAGTCATGTTTACTATAATTAAACAGTTTCATTAGTATTGAAATATCCTATGATATTTACTAAATGTCCTGTTTACACGTAAAATATGTTTTTTTTTCTCAATAAACTTAATCAGTTCAATGAAAATATCATAAAATTAATGGTAGTTGAGCTTTATAAAAGAACAGTTATGTAGTATTCTTTGTCTTTTTTTGGGACTAATTTGAGAAAGATACTTTGTTTATAGGGTTTGTACCCTTGTAGCTATAAATCAAGTTGATGTATGTAAACTTTTAAATATTTACAGTTACTTTCTGATGGAACTAGTTAAAGAGTATTGGTGTTGTAAATATCGATTGGATCATTTCATGTTATGGTGAATTGTTTCGGTCAAGCATTGGATGAATTTAATTCACTTCAAATATTTCACTATTTGACAATTACTAGCGTTTAACATCGTTATTTAACATAATTTGATATGGTGTTTAGAGGTGTCAATCAACAAGTTTATTTAGTGTTACATTTTGTTTACCATAACAGTAAATGTTATTCTTAGTCAGTGATTACATATATGATCAAACTTACTTACTTATACCTGTTACTCCCAATGTAGCATAGGCCGTCGACCAACATTCTCCAACTCACTCTGTCCTAGGCCTTCCTTTCCAATTCTATCCAATTGTTGTTCATTTGTTTCATGTTTTTCTCCATTTCTCGGCGTAATGTGTTCTTTGGTTTTCTTCTTTTCCGTTGATCTTGAGGATTCTATGTGAAGGCTTGCCTTGTGACGTAGTTATATGACCAATCAAATTACTTTAACTATCTATCACTTTGACCCAGTTTTTCCTATGATTTCATATATCTTTACTAAAATCTAAATTCATGAACATTACACTTTGTTTTATAGCACGACTGTTACTTAGACTTCATTTATTTATTTATCGAATAATGCACTAGTACTCAGTATTTGTATATTTTGTTTATCTTTTCTAATTATATTTATTTCTAATGTTTATACGTGAATTTTAGGATTTACCACCAAGTATACCAGAAGAGTTTCGTGATACAAATAATTCAATTCAATATGAATTAACTAGTACAAATTCTTATAAAAATGAAACAATATTAAATAATTTACATGATACTATTTATCCCTCTAAACAATTAAACAATGAAATCTTGTTTTCTTTAAATACACAATCTAAATCTACTGATAATATAATAAATTCAGTAGATAATTTAAATGATAAAAAATTTCCGGAAAATGTTGTTCCTTCATTTAAAGAAATTAATAATGATAAACAATTTAAATTATCATTAGAATTAACACCAAATATGTTTAAAACAATGAAAGAATTTACAGAATATTGGTTACCAATACAAGAACGTATACATGATAAATGTTTACATTTAATAAAGCTATTACATCAACATGATACAATACATTTAACACATTTAATAACTTCATTAATTACACAATTAAATAATGAATTTATAATTATTAGTCAATTATGTACAGTTATGATTGGTCTTTCTAAACAAACAACAATAATAAATAATAATTTAACACAAAAATTTATTATATATCGTTATAATATGGAAAATTTAGCTGAATTATTTATTAAATTATCAAAAATATTAATATTATAGATTTAAATAATCAATATCAAAAATATAATAAACAATCTACTATTACCACCCATTTGACTAATAATAATAATAATAATAGTAATAATAATACTAATAGTAATAATGATAGTAATGATAATAATAATAATAGTGAAGAGAGTAAAACTTTACTTGAACAAACAATTCAACAATTACTTACTGAAATCAATTTATTTTATACAACCATTTTAATAAATTCTAATTTATTATTTAATAATTTAATTAATAAATTTAGTGAATCAAATCAAGAGCATTTTTCTTTAATAAAACAACAAACAAATATGTTTAATAAATTAAGTAGATCAATTCCTTCATTTCATACATTATCTTTAAATTCATCATTACAAGTGTCAAATAATAAACCAAATTATTTATCAAAATCATATGAATTTATTGATCATTTAACTAATTTAAATCTGAAAAATTTGGCGGGAAATTTAAATTTTCAAAAATTATCACAATTTTGTTTAAATTCATTAAATATTATTGATAATTATTTAAATTATTTAATACAATTTCAAAATGATACAATATTATATTTTAAAAATTTAAAAAATAATAATTTTTTTATACAATTTATAATAGAACAAACTAAATTAGTCATGGAATCATGTAGTCAATTAATACGTTATATTATGTCTATTTGTAATGAATTTAAATTATTATCATCTATCCATAATATTAATGATGTACATGATACAAATACAGTAATATTAAGAAAATTAGAATATATGACTGATAAACTTTGTGAATCATTAAAAGGTTTAATAATACTTACTAAAGAAATTGCAAAATTTCTTACAAATGAATATGAATATATATCATCTCATAAAATGATTCCTATACCTGGTCCATTATTACAACGTTTAAATGGTGCATTGAAATCAATTCAAAATTCAATTAAAACAATTCATGAATTAATAAAAGAATAATTATCAATATTTATTTCATGTATTGATTAGAAAAGATGAGCATTTTAATAATCCTCATAGAATATATTCATAAATGAAGAATATTTGAGCGATCAATTGTATTCAATAACTTCATCATCAGGCTCTATACAGTTATGAGTCCATAATTATTATGATATTTTACTAAGGTCAAAAATAAGGCATGTATTAATGAATTTGACAATGTTTATTTTGGCCCACAACTGGATCACCGAATACCTAAACTGAATATTATAAACATCTTACCCCCTCTTTTTTAATTACCTCTATCTTGGAGAATGCTGGTCAGCGGCCTATGCTCCATTGGGAGTAACAGGCGTAAGTAAGTAAGCGTAAGTATCTTGATCTTCACATCCATCATCCTCAACTCGTTTATCATAATTACCTTGATAAAACCCCTTTTATGACATATTATATTCACACCAACAATCTTATTATTATTATTTCAATTGACAAGATGAAATTCTCCTACTATGCATTTTATTCAGACAATATTCTTTTCCATTTTCATTTTTGCTATAATACTATTATACTTATGGTGACTGAACACTTTACTCCTAATCATCCTGACCTTTATTGAAGTATATATATATATATATATATATATATATATATATATCGTAACAGATGCAAACGTTCGTCATTTTTAACACATAACATTGTCAAATTCACTAATACATGGCTTATTTTTGATCTTCGTAAAATATAACGATGATTATGGGCTTACAACTGTAGAGGCTGATGATGAAGTTATTGAAAACAATTGTTCGATCAAATATACTTCATTTAAGGATAGATTAAATTGATGAAGTTTCATTCATGAATTCATCTAGTTTTTACTCAAATCATTCATTTTGAGCTTATAAGATTTGTAAATTACTTGTCATTAATGAATAACAAGTCTAAATGATACATATATACATAAATACCATATCATTATTTCAGTAATTCATTAAGTAGTTATTTGCATTTTATCTTATTGTGTATACAATTCAATAGGCGATTTATATCTTGAATTGTAATTGAAAAACAAATGATTATGCAATTTCATTCCTTGTTTTTGTTTTACTTCCTTGTACTATTTGTATTTCAAAAAAGAACAATCATTAGTGAATATAAATGAGTTAGTTTTCATTTTGTTGTCAATTGATTTTATTTTTTTTATTATGACAACTTTCTTCATACTAACAAACACATTTTATACTGAAAGTCGGTAGTTGTATTTAAACCCGACTCGTCGGTATTCTATCATTATTAATTTGTCTTATTATGTATTGGGATTTGGATGTATGTTCGATTCTTAACTATTATGACGCTTGAGCATGAGTTAGTCTTAAGAATTTTACTGAACAGTGAGATTAGAAGTCATTAAATGGCTTACAAAATTCACTCTTGTCACATGTTTTTTTTCACAAATTAATTTCAAATATCATGATTTCAGTGGCGTATAAAACAGTTTTGTTCAAAATAGACTTTTTGGTTAGACGTCATAATGTATAAAGTCAGCCAAAACAGAAGAACTACAGTAATAAAGGTGACATTGTATGAGTACTTGGCTATATCACAGATTGATTTAAGTTAAAATGTTAAATGATCGGATCATGACTCAGTAGTCGACAGATGTCTCGTTCTCCACCAGACGTTTTATTCATTAGCTTAATGCTCTGTGGTCTTGGCAGCACACTTTTTGGGAGTCCTCAAGTATTCCATGTTGTGTGTTTAGTATCCCCTGGTTTTGTAGATAGTTGTCCGACTAACGTGAGTTCCTAGTAAAAGTTATTTTCAAATTACCTATAATTTCCATAGAACCATCTTTGTGAATAATAGCAAAATCACAAAAACATATTTTCTCCTCAATATGTTCTGCACTTCACTATTCTTCTTTAAGAATTATTAAAGTGTCTTTCATAAAGTGAAAATGAAATCCCAGTTAACACTCCCAAAGGTCCTATTTCCTCATATTTAATTAATTTGTGAAGATTGTCAATAACTTAAACTTGATGATCAGGACTTCCAGAAATTCGTACACCTAGGGATACTGTGAAATTTTCAATGCTTAAAAATGTTAAATAAGTCAACAGGCTTTGTTAGTTGAGCGATTGTGGGTGTGGGTGTGGGTATACTTCTGTTTATGGGTCACTTATAAAATATTTTATATTAGTTATTAATTTAAGTTTCTTGGTAAATGTGATGAATCATATCGATCAATGTCTGTTAGTTTACCAACTTTTCAGTCCCATTGAACGATTTTACAAGAACTTTTGATCGTCCCAAGGCACGTAACCTCTATTCACATGGCACTTAACTGCTTTCTGGGTATTTATGGAAAAGTTTTTATCGTAAACTATGAAAAACATAGCAGAATCCCAAATATACTGATGTAGTTACAGTAGTAAGTTATTTTATTTCACAAATAGGATGAGGGATTCGAGTTAGATTATTACTTTACTTACTTACTTACGCCTGTTACCCCCAATGGAGCATAGGCAGCCGACCAGCATTCTACAACCCACTCTGTCCTGGGCCTTCTTTTCTAGTTCCATTCAATTCTTGTTCATTTTTCTCATGTCTATTTCCATTTCTCGGCGTAATGTGTTCTTTGGTCTTCCTCTTTTCCTTTGGCCTTGAGGATTCCATGTGAGGGCTTGTCTTGTGATGCAGTTGGGTGCTTTCCTCAATGTGTGTCCTATCCACTTCTAGCGCTTCTTCCTGATTTCTTCTTCCGCTGGGATCTGGTTTGTTCTCCCCCACAGTACGTTGTTGCTAATAGTGTCCGAAGTATTTTGCGTAGACAACTGTTAATAAACACCTGTACTTTCTGGATGATGGCTTTCGTAGTTCTCCATGTCTTGACATTTGTATTGAAAATCCTGACCTTGGTGTTGGTTGACAGTTGCTTTGAATTCCAGATGTTCCTCAGTTGTAAATATGCTGCTCTTGCTTTGCCAATCCGCGCCTTCACATCTGCATCAGATCCACCCTGTTCATCAATGATGCTGCCCAAATACGTAAAGGTTTTTACATCTTCCAAATCTTCTCCGTCAATTGTGATTGGATTGGTGCATTCTGTGTTGTATCGGAGAATTCTGCCTTTCCCTTTGTGTATATTGAGACCTACTGCTGCTGAGGCTGCTGCCACACTGTTCGTCTTCTCCTGCATCTGTTGTTGCGTTTGGGATAGAAGAGCCAGATCATCTGCGAAGTCTAGATCGTCCAACTGCATCCTAGATGTCCATTGTATCCCGTGTTTCCCTTCAGATATTGACGTCTTCATGATCCAGTCGATCACCAGGAGAAAGAGAAAGGGTGAGAGTAAGCAACCTTGCTTGATACTGGTCTTCACTTCGAACGAGTTGATAAACTGTCCTCCATGCACAATTTTGCAGTGTACGAGTTGGACTATAGCTCAGTAAAATGATAACAGTGGTCTTCTCCTATATTTTCTTTTGGTTACTTAAATATGCTTCGTGACAGCGAACTTAAAATGTGTAAAGAAAATTTGTCTTAGGAATCTCCTACATTAACTCAAAAAGTGGTTTTTTATGTATATCCGACCAAACTTTTACAGCATATCATCAAAAGGAAAATAGCTAAACCGCCGAAAAGATTCCCGTATCTGCTTAAAAAGTGACGAAATCTAGTTCTTACTCAAGGGGAATAATGGTAGTTTGTGCTGCTTTATTTTATATCGATCTTGCAACGGGTACAAAAATGACAGCTTATAACGCCCAGTAAAAGTCCAGAGAATCTCTAAGTTAAATACTGATTAGATGGTTGATGTTCATTTCAGTTATCTCAAGGAGTGTTGATCAGTGAAATCAGAAATTTTAATATAAACACTGACGTTAGTTCATAATCACTGAAGAGTTAGGATCATTAGAGACAGTAATTTTAAAAGATTAGGGTTATTAATGTTCTAGAATTGTGGCTAGGACTTATTTATTAGTGAGGATGAGCTATCATCTGAATTATGAAAACCATAAGACAATCTTAATTACTGGTTTTATTGTTTCATGAGATACATCTAAACTCCTCTTGTATTTTACATAATATAATTAGCATGATGTTCTGTAGAAGTGGGGTTCAAACAATATGTCTTTCCACCTAGTGTTGAATTTCATTTTGATTTACTATTCGAAACATACTTATGTTTAATAATTGCCCCATCTTTGCGTCTAGTTATTTATTAAGATGTGCCTATTTGTAAAGAAGCATATTTTTAGTGCGTCTTGGTTGCTAATCCCAATTCTTGATAAGACCTGCCTTCAGAAGACATCACTAAAAACCGAAAGTGAACAAAAACTATTAGCTAAGCTGAAGAATTCACCTGCAGTAGTCTTTGTAAAAAAATTCAAAATTCGGTTGACATTAACAACTTGAAAATGTTCATAAACTTCACTAAAGCAGCTAGGCTTTATGTTTCGGAGATTTCGTTTGCATTTTTGAACTACTCATTAGTAGCATAAACATGTTTTACAAAATAAACAATTCAATCCCAATGAGTTATTTCAATTATTTCATATGTATTATAACTACGCCTTTAAAAATTCTAGTACAACTGTCAGTCCTAATCCCGCGTAAAGCAGGAGGGTTGTGCGTAGGATCAGCATCTTCATCACCTAGAAAAAATCTTGCTAGGAAAACACCAACCAGAATAAACAAATTAAACCATTTAAACTCTACCCTCCAAGTTGGCGGAAGAATTATGGCGCTTCATAATGAAAGTTGGGATGATTCGGAAGTCACGAGGATGATGCCCCTTCTAACAATTAGAGTAAAAATTAATTTAAGTATGCGGAACTTTTGGACAATGTGGCTGCTTTACTCTGGTCACGAAGAAGAAAATGCTCCACACATTCAGAGTGTTGCTCTGATGCTATCCAAAGATGCACGTAATGCACTCATAGAATGGGAATCTCACGTATCCAGGATCATCAAAGCATTCTTCAAACGAAGAAGGATGGAATTAAAATGAATGTTATCCAATGTTATGCACACACCAATGATAGCAATGACGACGATAAATACCAGTTCTACGAGAGGCAGCAATCGATCATAGTGAAGTATTCAGCAAGGGGTCTGACCATCTTGATGGGAGATCTAAACTTCGAAGTTGAAATGGACAACAAATAATATGAAGATATCATGTGATGATATGGATTGACTGGGGAAGGGCACGATAATAGTGAGAGATGTGTATTCAACAAAATGGTTATAGGTGGCACAATATTCCCATACAAACACATACACATGGCAACACGTGCCTCACCGGATCACACTACACAAAACCAGATCGATCATATTTGTGGCAATAAAAAATGCCGAAGGACA